ATGGGTAAGAACAATACCATAACCCTCATGAAATTTGCTATGGTTTTAACCGCAGCAATGCTGGTTACAGAAGCTATGAGCATTTCCTTATGTAACATCAACACAAACGACTTGGAGAAGTGTCGTCCAGCTGTCGCTGGAAGAAACCCGCCGCCTCCAGGACCCGACTGCTGCGCAGTGGTCAAAGCCGCTAATATAGAATGCGGCTGCAAGTACAAGTTTTACCTCTCCAGTTACGGGATTAACCCATCTAAAGCCAAGGCTGTTATAGCCAGCTGTGGCGCTAGAATCCCCTCCTGTTTTCGAAGGTACAATCAAAGTACCACATGATTTTGCTCTTCTTTATGTAAAGAGACGAAAATTTTACGTTTGTTTTAACGTTCTTTATGTAACATGCAGATTGAAGAACTGAGCTGGAGAGTCTGCCGCAGACTTTGCCTCGACCTGAAAAGCCTCTTTAAGTTATAATATATGTCTTTTGGTGTTCTGATTAGAATAAATCACCAACTATGCAATTATTTTTAGCTACCTTATCTATATAGAAGAAGCATGTTCTATACATTAATGAAAACAATGAAGTACTGGCTTTCCTAAATCCTTTGTTTTCTACTATCTGAAAACTAACTCTTCATACCTCTTCCCTGCAAAGAACCCAAATCGTAAGACTGCAAACAAAGAATATAGAGAAAATTTCAGATACCGAATGGTTAGAAAGTTAATTTGAGTCAAAGAAGTAGAGTAAATAGAGGTGATTCAAAGATTGGTTGTAACACCCGATCCCTGATCACTTTGAGCCCTAGGTCTCGTGCCCTAACTTGCTCAACAAGCAACATACCTGCACAAACTAGAAGGGAAAAAGAGGGGTAAGTAATTCCGGGAAGAAATCACTCAGTGAGATTGCTACCCACAACAACTCTAATACTTGGAAACAATAGGCAATCAAACACATTAAACCATACATAGAACATGCATCACCCAACTTATTACTAGCAACATAACATTCACAACTAGCATTTCTATACCATAATCTCTTTTACTTATATATTAACTKATACTTAAATATTCCACTTTTCACAT